GTTGTGATTTTGTGTATAAAACCACCTGTATTTACTAGCTAGTTGCTAATAAGAAACTGCACCTTGTATTGTATAGATTTGTCACTTGTAAAAGAGATGTTAGAGTATGGAAATTTGCAGTAGCTGCTAGAAAATGCTAAGGCAAAAGCTAGAAAAATTTTAATACAATGGTAGTGTTATAAAGCAGGTGATGGAACAAATTAAGAGGGTGGGAGAATTCCACTGGTAAGAAATTTCTTTGGCTAGTCCTTCACTGCCATCAGCATCTTCAACATGCTGCTGCACCCTGTAATAGTTACTCTGCTAATGTAAATTTGTGTGTGCCTTGCTGTAGTAGCGACTTGTTACTGGATAAAACAAAAGGGGGAAGATGTGGAGACAGTGTTCTCACAGGGGAATGCATAATTGGTACATAAACTTTGAATAGTCCTGAAAGATACAGCAAGGCCATGAGAGGCCTGAAGAAGCTTAAGCAAGCAAGATAAGAGGCTGGAATTCACCAAGTTAATGAGAACTGTGGACTGTTGGCAAGCTTTCAAGGTTGAGTTCTCACACCTGTGTTTAACCAATTATATGTTAGTCAGTAAGGGTCTTCAAAACATGTATCCAATCATAATATGCCAAATCACTGTAAGTGCTTCAGCTCAACTAAGCAGACAATTCTACATCGAAGGCAATTCCTGATTTGTTTTAATGTTGACTCTGTAAGACATGCAACACTGCAGAAGCTTTTGTTGTTGGAACAGGGACATGGATGTGAAGAGTTTGATGGAATGTGTTGTATGAGTCTCTCTGATTATGCTAATTCGATGCACGCACAGCAGAGAACCCTGGCTCAGCTTACCCAGCAATAGTAAATGAGCAGTATTCTAAGAAGAACTAGATGGTTGTCTTCACGGGGCATTACAGGTTGAGTCAAAAACTGTTGTTTGAAGTATTGCACTTATGTATCATTGTTAGGTTAATCATCGTAGCTATTAGACTTGTTTATAGTTGTGTGATAAAACAGGTGAACAGAATAACCCATAATGCCTTGCTTGCACAAAGAAAAAGGGGGGAATTGTTGCAGAATGACTCTAAGAGCAGGACCATAGAGTTCTGGAGGACTGTGCAAGCAAGGCAGGGGGTGGCCCCCACAGGTGGCTGGAGACCGGACCTGGGAGGAGAATGTGGAGGAAGCTGTGGGGGCTAACCAATACTGTTATGCCAAGAAGGAGTGGCTGAATACCACTCCTATGTATGTGTGAACTGCGTCACAAATAAAGTAGAAGTTGCTTATCACCCATATTGGGTTGGCCTGTCTGCTTCTCCTCGCCGCTTACAGTTACTAGGGAAGACAGACTGTGAAACCCTCATCTGGCTTTAACAGCTGCTCAAGAAACAATCCACATAGGGCTCAGGTCTGCCCATGGCTGCAGGCTCAGCACTGGTACCCATCACCAAGACTTCTCTTTAAAGCACTTACTTAGAATATGCAGGGATAGGACAAGGGGGAATAGCTTTAGGCTGACAGAAGGTACATTTAGATTAGATATTAAGAAAAAATTCCTTACCATGAAGCTGGCAAGACACTGACACAGGTTGCCCAGAGAAGCTGTGGCTGCCCTATCCCTGGCAGTGTTCAAGGCCAGGTTGGATGGGGCTTGGAGAAACCTGGTCTAGAGGAAGGTGTCCCTGCCTGTGGCAGGGGTGTTGGAAGTAGATGAGCTTTAAGGTCCTTTCCAACCCAAACCATTCTGTGATTCTATGTATGTATCTACACCTCCTGTTACCACATACAGATTTATCAGACAAATTCATGAACAAAGGGAGCAAATTACTCAAAGCATTAGTTAGCTTTCTGTAGACCCCTTTCTTCCACCTGAGAAGATGCAGTGTTGTAGGGATTCCAAAATGAATTCAGCTCTAACAGAGGCTGTGTGGAAGCAGCTTTTTTGCTGTGCACAGATACGAGATTAAATGAAGAAGGTGGGTGTCATGAAGGAGGGAGGCAGACACTGAACTAATGTTTTCTAATCAAAACAGAATCTGTCTGTAAGATGCAGGAGGAGGGTTCCATATCAAGTAAACAAATAATTGGTTTATTTGTCTGTTCTTTGTGCTCTTTGGTTACTTAGGGTGGTTTTGGGTTTTGGTGGGTTTTTTCTTTTATTTTTTTGTGCTGATGAAGAAAAGGGAGACTGTGATGCCATTCTAAAGGAAAGTACTGAAGATAACCTGCTGAGGAGGGTGTCCATTTCCCACTAGTGTTATGCTGCAGGTAGTGGTGGTTCATAATGCACAAGTGATGAAGTCAGTCCATTCTCTGGCAGTTCCAAAAAGTGCCAGCAGACTATTAGCAACTCCAGTAAAAGTGAACTGTATTTTCTATGCCAATCCCAAATCTATATGAAGTCATTGTTAATGGCAATTAACTACATTATAGAATGGCTTTAAATCGTAAGGAAAAATGTACTGTTCTCTTCAGTTTATGAGAAAACTGTTGAAAATACAGACTGTAACCTGGTAGTTCTTCCTTTTAGTGTGGGAAAATTTCTACTCCTTTATAGTCTTCCCCCTACATTTGAAGAAATTTATCGGATCTGAAAACTAAAAAAATTTGGCCTGATATGTCATTATCACAGTATCACAGTATCACAGTATGTTAGAGATTGGAAGGGACCTCGAAAGATCATCTAGTCCAATCCCCCTGCCGGAGCAGGAACACCTAGATAATGTTACACAGGAATGCGTCCAGGCGGGTTTTGAATGTCTCCAGGGAAGGAGACTCCACAACCTCCCTGGGCAGCCTGTTCCAGTGTTCCGTCACCCTCACTGAGAAGAAGTTTCTTCTCAAGTTTAAGTGGAACCTCTTGTGTTCCAGTTTGTACCCATTACCCCTTGTCCTATCATTGTTTGCCACTGAGTAGAGCCTGGCTCCGTCCTCGTGACACTCCCCCTTTATATATTTATAGACACTGATAAGGTCACCCCTCAGTCTCCTCTTCTCCAAACTATAGAGACCCAGCTCCCTCAGTCTTTCCTCATAAGGGAGATGTTCCACTCCCTTAATCATCTTAGTTGCCCTGCGCTGGACTCTCTCCAGCAGCTCCCTGTCCTTCTTGAACTGAGGGGCCCAGAACTGGACACAATACTCCAGATGGGGTCTCACCAGGGCAGAGTAGAGGGGAAGGAGGACCTCTCTCGACCTACTAACCACCGCCCTTCTAATACACCCCAGGATGCCATTGGCCTTCTTAGCCACAAGGGCACAGTGTTGGCTCATGGTCATCCTGTTGTCCACTAGGACCCCCAGGTCCCTCTCCCCTACACTGCTCTCTAACAGGTCGTTCCCCAACCTATACTGGAACCTGGGGTTGTTCCTGCCCAGATGCAGGACTCTACACTTTCCCTTGTTATATTTCATCAAGTTACTCCCTGCCCAACTCTCCAGCCTATCCAGGTCTCGCTGGATGGCAGCACAGCCTTCTGGCGTATCAGCCACTCCTCCCAGCTTAGTGTCATCAGCAAACTTGCTGATAGTACACTCAATTCCCTCATCTAAATCATTGATGAATATATTAAATAATACCGGTCCCAGTACTGACCCTTGAGGCACTCCACTAGTTACAGGCCTCCAACTAGACTCCGCCCCATAGACTACAACTCTCTGGCTTCTCTCCTTCAGCCAGTTCGCAGTCCACCTCACTACCTGATCATCCAGTCCACACTTCCTCATTTTAGCCGTGAGGATGCTGTGGGAGACTGTGTCAAATGCTTTGCTGAGGTCAAGGTAGACCACATCCACCGCTCTGCCATCATCCATCCACCGTGTTATTTCCTCATAAAAGGCTAAGAGATTGGTCAAACATGATTTCCCCCTGGTGAAGCCATGTTGACTGCCCCTCATAACCTTCTTATCCTTGATATGCCTATATGTCTAAATTATGTCTAAAAGAAAGATTTTTAATAGCTAATATTTATTTTATTAGAAGGCAAATCAAGTGATTTTATACTTTTCCAAGGAGTTTATATACACTACTCATACACTGAAAATGTAGTGTTATCCAGTTCTGGAATGTCCCTACAGTGAGGGTTTGGCTCACTGAAATCATTGCATGGGCTCACTCAACACTAGCATGAAATTCATTGTGAGGTGGTGCTGGCACACGTTTAGCCCTGAAATATGCACGCAGTTTCATTCTGTGGGTAAGCTGGATTTACCTAGCTGTTCCGTCTTTAGTGAGGTGCAGCAGTCTTACCTGCTGTCAACAAGTTGAGCAGTTTTTCCATGATCCCTAGGTTGCGTCCGCAAGCGCACTCCAATTTTACCTACGTTTATATGTATCCTTAAATCTAAAAAATGTGGATTGTTTGCTATTAGGGCTGTTAATGAGAAAAAACATGTAGATAGGGCAAAGATATGCCAGTGTGTGGAATCAAAGCTTTAGGAGACACTAAAATACAGCTATGCCAGTGCCTGAGTGAAAGTGCTTTTCCAGCGACACCAAGCCACCATATGCACCCACCCGGTATACACTACGTGCTGCACTGGGGTTGCGTAAGGCGGTTTAACACCCTTTCAACAAACAACAAAACTAATGTGCTCCCAGCTCGGAGGGCTGAATGGTCGCGATCGCGGCGCGGTTTCCTTCCCTTGGTAACCTATCCGAAGGCCACAACCCGGTTCTCCTTCTTCTCTGCCCGGCAGGAGGCCTCAACCGCCATCAGCAGGTACGAACGGCGAGGCTCCTCAAGAAAGCAGTCAGCCCGCACCTCCTCGGCCTCCGCAGCGCTTCAAGGCCGGGCTGCAACCGGCAGCTGTCCCTCCCCTTACTGCGGCTCTCGCTCGTTGCTACAGAAAACGAACCACCCCACCCCTTTCCCACCGCCCTTTCCAGACCCGCGCCTCAGCAACACCACGGCCCCTCCTGCCACTCAGGCCCCGCCTCCCCCACATCCGGGAGCCGGGGCGGGCCGGCGCCTGCTGTGCCGACTGTTGCCGCGCGCGTGCGCGGGGAGGGTCCCTTGCAACTCCTGTCGCGCCGCTGCCGGAGCCGCTGCTGGTCCCGGCTACCCCTCAGCGTCCTTGCCCGCAATATGCCTCCACTGCCCTCGGGCTGCTCGCCATGCTGGGGACCTGCAGGCGCCTCTCCTCCCTGCTCCTGGGGCTGGCGGCCGCGACCCTGCTGCTGCTGTTGGGGCGGCCGCCTCTCGTCGACGGTGGCGAAGCCACCCACCCGCTGCAGCAGCTGGCGGCGCTGCCGATGGGGGACCCTGCCGCCGCGGCGGCCTCAGGTACCGATCTCCGCCCCCGCCCCCGTCGTTCCCACTGCCGGGCGGATACCTCTGTTTCCTGCCTACCTTGTGGAGATTGCTTCTGGCCAGGACCGCCCCGCTGCGATCCTCTTCTCCCGGGGCCGGCGTCCCCCCTCGCAGCTCCTGCCGAGTTGCTGAGGGGCGTGTTGCTTCGATCGGGTGCCAGTCTGTGCATTCCAGGCGTTGCGCTGCCGTGCGAGGGCCGAGCTTTGTTTTTAATGAAGCAGGTAGCGAAGCCGTGGAGGCTGCTTCTGCGGGGAGAGCAGGATCCATCTTTAATATCGCAAGATCTGTATGCAGCTGCCGTAGCATGTCACCAGTAGTCGTGTTTGTGCCCTAGCTCTGGAGATACTCAAGTGCCAGACAGAAGGGCTCCGGGGAAGGAGGGCTCTACCCATTCTCGATTGCTGGCAGGAGTCACCAGAGCGAGAGATGTGTGTGTGTATATATATATATATATAAAGTACAAAAATATTACACACATGCATTTCTATATATCTATTTATATCGATATAAAAATAAATGAAACCTAGCTGGTAACATTGGCAAGTGTCATAAGCTTATCAAAGGAGAGATGGGGCTGCTGAGCTCAGTAGTTTTTGTGTCTCCCCTGCAGAATGAGGAAATACGATGTTCTTTCAACAGCTGAGAGTATGAAAATAATGCGCTTATTTCAGCTTTAGGCCTTGGTGTTACAGTCAAACCCCTTGTAGAACTGGGTCAAGTGATAAGGTTTTCTGTCATCTGGTTTAAAAAATACGTGTGCATTTTGAAGTGTTACTGGCTCAAAATAGGATAAAAGCCTGATATTTTTCTTGACATGCTGCCTTTCACCAAAGAATTTCAAAGTGGTTTCAATCATGAATTATTTAAGACCCTTCATCACTGAGGTGCTGGGCACATCACTAGAGCGTATGTTTCTTTTTAATGATATATATGCATGTTTCTATTTCCAGTTGAATTCAGGGAAGTAAAAATTGTTTTTAGTTTTAGGCATATGGTTAGTATTTTGCTGAATTGAAGCAAATTTACAAGGCTGCCAAAGTATGTATGTTTATTAGGAAATATAAGCAAAGGTCTTGAGTTATGTTTTGATGTAGAGCTATAAACTAGATTTGGTAGAATATCAACACATTCTTAAAATGCCTTGATATTTGCCCTTTGGTTTCTTTCTTGTGTGGATTTGGGTTTCTAGTTGGTTTTTTTGTTTGTTTGTTTTGGTTTTATGTTTTTTTTTTCAAATGCTTGAACTATAGGACTTTAAAGGAGGGTATTTGATGGACAGCTTGGTTCTTGTTTTTTCTCTTGAACTGACGATTTTTCATTATTTTAATTATTTTCATTATTCTGTTTCTAACCGTGCTTGTAGCAGAATATACGATGAATCACCCAGCAGCAAACCCCAGCATCTGGCAGCATTTCTAGCTTGGGCAGTGAATATTTTGCTGGTTAAAAATTGAGTGCCTTCCCAAAAGGGACAGTTTTTGTAATTTGATGATCCTCTTTGGTTTCACATACTGCTTTATTTTCAAGAAGCTCTAATACCTTATTGCCTTCAGCCCTGGCTAAAATCTTTGTTGGTACCAGTTTGATGCTGATGCTATTGGTTTGCTGCTGTTGCTGCTGCAGGCCCATGTGCCTCATTGCTGTTGCTTTCTTTTATTTGCTTTTTTTGCTTCATAGGTTTTGAGGTACTGGAGTCCTGGAAGTGTTTTATAGTATGCAGCTTTCATGATCAGTCCCAATTTATGAATGTTTAAAATTATAATTTAAATGTATGCTCAGCATTTGTTTGTGTTATGTTTAAATACAAGTTAAAGCTTTATTTCACTTTTTGGTTAGCTTTCTAAATGATCTTGATTAATTTCTTTAATAAAGAATTTGTAATAGCCAGTAGTGATTAATCTTTTAAAAAGGCAAGCTTATCTCTGCTACAAAACTTTCATTATTCTGAAGAAGCTGCTAAGCACCTTTGGGTTTTGTATGGTATTTCCTTTCAGTAAGGCGTGTAAGTAATTTTTTGCTAGATGAACATTTCTGAAATTTTAAAAAGGAAGAACCTGGCTGCAGAGATGTATTTTTGAGATACTAAATGTCTTTTTTCCATTAAATTATCTTTTGATGGTTTACAGCTGAAAGGTAGGCAGGATAAATTGCTGTTGCCTTTCCAGCAGAAGACTGGTAGCAGAGTAATCCCTAAGGGGAATGCTCTGAAGAGGCCACTCCTGAAACAGCTGCAGGTCCTGTGCTGGGAACTGCCAGGCTAGCAGTAGCTTCTGGAAGTAAGAGGAAGTTTTGGCTGATTTTGGATTTATGACGTGTGTTTGTGACCCCAGTGTTGCTGGAGTGAAGAAGCTTTATCCACCTAAAATAGGGAAGGTGCAGAGCTAAGGCTGGAGTTAACAACCTTTTGTCATAGGACATTCCTGTATGGATGTGCCTGTTCTGTTCAGCCTAATTACACAGTTTTACAGATCAGTTCCCTCCTGGATTAACAGACTTTGGTTAGTGTTACTATTATGCTGTCTGAGAAGAAATGCTAAAGTCAGCACAGCTGGATGCAAAGATTTGGGAGTGCGGATTCTACTGCTGCCGTGTAAATGCAGCAATGAGAGAAGATAGTTGCACATCATGACTGAATAGGAATTGGTTTTGTTCATCTCTTGTTTCTTCTTCCTTAAAAACAACAACAAACTTACCACTGCCAAAAGAAGTAAGTAAATTCTAAAGGCAAGGCAGAGATGTGCCTTGTGTCACAGTTTATGGAGTTACTCTGACTCATGTTATCTAACAGATGTAACTGTTCTTCCAAATTTTAGGAAAAAATATTTGGGGAGAGAAGGATGGGTCTGTGGCTAGAGTGACTGCTGAAGTGGAGAACCTGTCTTGGTTCTCTGTTAAATTCATAGTGAGTTTTCGCATTTTCTGTGTGGCAGTTTAGAAGTCTGCGCTCTGGTGTGCAGAAGTGATTAAAGAATAGTCCCCAGGAGCTTTGACTACTCAGCACTCAAGTCAGCGGGCTTGAGCACAGAATTCAGTAAATACAGCCCTGGCTTTGATCCAGGCAAAGTTGGCTTTGTTTCCCTTATTCCCTTTTGCTTATCTTTATGGGAGATATGTTGTGTTCTTTAATGCTTAAAAACCTTGAAGATATTCTGGATGTGATGCATTGTTATTCTCCTTATAATGCAGATACTGTGCAATAAACAGCATGGAGACCACGAATCGAGTGATACTTCACTGCATCAGCTTCATGGCAGATCTCACGTACACTGAATGAGCAAGATTCTTCTGGAAAAAACAGCAGTTCTGTAAATAGAAGCTGTCACGTTACGTATAGACAGCACATAGGACAACATACACCATTGTATTATCATAGAGTGACTTGCCATCATATTTGTTATATACCATTCCGAATCTGCTTCACATTCCAGAATTCAGGAAAAAAAAATATTTTGCCACTATTTTATTTTATTCTAGGCAGGTGGCTTTGCATAGAATGCAAAGATTAGCTTGATTTTTGTCAGGTGAAATTAAATAAGTGCTAACATCTAGGAATGGTGCTGAACAAAGGAGAGGAGAGAATGGCAATCACTGTGCATATTTATACAGTTCTGTTTGTTGAGACAAATGAGAAATATGTGATTGTTGGCAAACCCAAAAGAGAATAAGAGATTACTCATGTTGGAACAAAATCACTGCCTGGATACTACCTGTGGAATTTGATTCTGTGCCCATTTCCCAATATAACTTGCTTGCATGTGTTGATAAGTTGCTATCTAATGCAAAGCAGTGTTCTAGATAAGAGATTTCTAATTAAGCTTGTTTTAAAGTCTTGTACATTGTCTTATTCTTCCTGATCATTCAAGGAGGAGATACCTTTCTCCTGCTTCCTTTTTATGAGATACTGGAAGAGAAATATTTCTCTGATGCATCTCTGTGTGACTTATTGTTTTTCTCATCTTTGTTTTCAATGTTTCTAGTTGTGAAATATTTTTCCTAATGGTATGTATATTGGTACGTAGGTGGCACTTACGTATTTAGATGAGTATTTGGTTTTGATACCTTGTTCTGCTTTTGAATTTGAGCAATAACACATAATGATGCAGTTAAAAATGGTGCTGTGTGACTGGCTTGTTTGTTACTTGGTGGAACAACTTTTACAGTTTAGTGTCTCTATAGTAGTCACTGGGCAGGGGATTAGTACAGCAGCAGTAAATCTAGTTCTGTTCTGGAGATTCTGTAGCAGTCAGATACAAATGTCAAGAAAATTAGTGAGGAGTTAAAAGCCATATAGGAGATTCTGTAGCATTCCTATAAAGAAGGAAATTCAGTAGTTTTCATGGGTGACTGATTACATAGAATACAGTTCCTGTTTAAGAAGTAAGGGCTGTCTAACTAGGGGCTTCTGAGCAGCACTGGGGTTAATTGCTTTATACAGCTGGCAACACAACCTTCATATCCAATAGGTATTGGAATATAACCTGGTCAGGGAAAAGATCTATTTTTAGGTTGTCAAAGCTAATGGGTTAAATTGTAGTAATTTTTTTCTATTTGGACATGGAAGAGATGGATTGCAGTCTTTAAAGTAAAACTTCTGATTTGATACATCAGATGTAAACTTTTGTTAGGAATCGATGTTGTTTCTTATATGAAGAACCTTAATTAAATTTTGCAAACCTGGCTTTTGATATGGTAAAAAATAATTCTTTAATTATGAAATAGAACTCCAAAAGCGTTACATGTGCACCCCAGCAAAAAGGTTTAATGCGACTATCTCCAGCTGTGGGAATAAGCTCAGAGAATGTCCTTTGATTTGCTGTTCAGTTTTCTCAGCATTCTCAGCCTATGGGATTTGTGAGAATGGTTTCTCAGTTAGGTGAGAAAGTAGAGAAAGAATGTAAGACTTAGACTAGTCCTGATTTATTGGAGGTGATGTTCTTAAGTGACTTAGCTTTCTGTGCTGATCTAAGGCTTAA